TTTTGCTCCAAAATTAAATTAACTGTCATGTCAGAACTCAAGTATATCCTTGCCCGTAATTAATCAAGACGCAAAGAACATATGCACAAGAGTCACTCTTGCGTTTCTTAACTTCGCAAAGTTACATTCCTACCGTGCAATCGCATCACAGAAGTTCTTCTGATTGATTTCTTAAAGTAGAGGGCACACGTGTTGCGTTACGCCGTTTGATTTGCACAACAACAACTGAAACCGAGTAATTTGCAAAATGAAAGGTTTCAAGCTGTTCGTTGGAACTGTCAGAATGCTTCAGGTCACCTTAAGGTCTTGATAACTGTTGTAATACGGCAGCTGCGATTGTGCAAACTTGATTATGAGAGTGTATAACCGACTATTGGGGCATATCGCGGCATAGTGTATAATCAAAGATCGCAATGTATAATAAATTACTTTCTTATCTTGCATAATTATTACGTAGTGGGGGTTAATTATTCTCAATTTTTATATTCATCTATTCGAGATTATTATTATTATTCAATTACGCTTGCGTTTCCCTTAACATTAATGATCAGTTTCATCATCGTGATCAGCGATCACGTCTATCTCTTGATTCAACTTGACGAATTTGCGAAATGCTCGAATTTACTTTTGAACGATTTACGTCTGTGAATACATATACATATATATATATTCCAAAATAATTGGAATACCGAAATTTGTAATTTTGATTAGATTAACGCCTGTGTGAATTATTTCGTTCGCGAAGAGTGACAGGAAACAAGGGGTTTAATTGTTACTAAACCCTCCGATTTATAAAAAAATAAAGCGATCGAGCAGGCTTCGTTAACGATTAATTGCCCGTTACGAATTCTGCAGCCGCCTTTTCATTCTGGATCTCACAATTGCCGGATGTAGCCTGCATAATTTAAATTCGCGAACGTTCTACTTTTCCCCCGCAGAATGAAATCGACTTAAAATAAGTTTGCACCGAACGTCGTTTTAAAATGGTTACGTCACCTTAACAACTTCGATAAGCTTCAAATTTGCACGCGTGTGTGTGTGTGTATGTGTGTGTGCACGTACGTACGTATGCGCAGCAAGATAATATATTTTTTTCGTTTCATAGATCATTGCACGTGTCATCGTGCACAGTTCAAATAAAAAACGAAGTTATTCCCCCGTAAAAACATCTCTCAGTTCAAATGTTATCTGCGTTGATCACGCAGGAACTACTGCCCGCAGCACTCCCTGAAATGCACGCCGTGGTATAAAAGAAAAGATATCAGAGCAAATTAGAAGAGATAAATTTTACTTAAATGTAAAAACTTTTCTTCGCAGAGTGTCCGAGTGTATTGAATAATTTTACGATAAAGTCGTTGCCGCGTCTAACGTAATGATCAAAATAGTACGAAGATTGAAAACTATTTTAATTCGTAATTCATTGTTGAAAATTGATCTAGAAGAGATCGCTCGCGAAATGTTGATTAATATTCTGTGTATACGTCAGGTTTTGGAGTGCCGCTCGGATTATACGGTGCATGGTTACCGATGCGGATGTACGGCAACGGCGGAGCTTCCGGTGTCCCAATGTTACCGCCGCACACCTCCGTCAGTTATCCGTCCCACCAGGATCTTTATCAGAATCGGTTGTCGCAGCATCTCGGTCCAGGAACGAATCACCTTCAAGGCGCGGCTTATCCGGCCGCTTGTCAGCGTAGCTCGAACCTTCGTGGCTCGACAAGCCTCACGGACAGCGAGGATGACGGTAGCATCGATTCACCGGCATCACCTGCACACGATCTTTCCAAGTCCAGACACGGTGAGTTTCATCGTCAGATATTTCTTTATTATTTAATTCAACACCTCTGTCGACAAATATTCCTCCCGATTTTCTTGAAATTTAAAATTACTCTCTCTCTCCCTGAAGAAATAACTTTGTTTCTCTTTCTTTTTCTTTTTTTTTTTATTATTAAAAAATACATACTCTATTTCAGACATTCTTTAGTAGTTTGCAAAGTGTAATTTCCTTTTTTTTTTTTTTTATTATTGAAAAATACATACTCTATTTTTGCAGAAAATTTTTCAGACATTCTTCAGTAGTTTGCAAAGTGTAATTTCCAAAGTGAATGAATACTCACTGACGGCACATGTATTACGCTACTCGAGATTGAATATCTTCGATTCCTGTGATTTATTAACGTGGATGCACCCGTCATGCGAACGGGATCGTGAAATACCTATTTATTTATATTCCGCTATTAACTTACAGCCACCGGCGATTCTATATTCAAAGCACGGACAAATGCTATACCATAGCACGGACCCTGACGGTAGTTAGTGTTAACAGGATGCGGGAGTGATCGTTTCAATTATTCCTAGGACTGACGAAACACGGTGGCAATTAGTAATTAAAATAAACGTCGATCGATCGAGTGTCTCGCACAGGATAGTAACGGTGTCTCTTACGGCGTCGCGGATTCAATGAACGTTTCTCACAGTGAAAGCTTCGATTCTCCGATCCTGACGATTACATTCCTCGTTATTCATGAATGCAATTCTAGATGCTAATAAGTACTCAATGACTTTTGTTCGTACGTTTTTGGTATTTAATGGACAGTTGTTTATGGCTTTCGTATTTAATTTCTACCAGAAATTGTTCATGAAATTTAACAGACATGAATTGGATTTATTCCAATAGTTGACACTAGTCAAGAAATATCTCCAATATTCTCAAAGAATATTGCCAGATCGCTATCTACAAAAATAAGGAAAATAATTGTCCGTAGTAGATTAAGCTGCCAAACGGAGACAAACGTAAATGAGCTTATCGCGAATAATTATCAAGCGTTCGCTCGAAAGCCTCGTTCGAGGAATTCCTCGAGCGCGTTCCATCGGGAACCGATTTCACGGAAAGCATATTCGATAAATAATCGATCGGATCGAAGAAATTCTCGAGTATCGGGCCCCCGGCTGTTCGAGGAACAGAGCTTCGTTCTTCGTCGAACGTTCGTCCGCCGTTTGAAATTCGGCCAGGATTCACCGAGTACCGTATCACGTACTTAAGCTCGTGCGCGCGCGGAATTTTACAGGTGTGTGCGTGTGTGTGTGTGTGTGTGCACGCGCGCGCGCGAGAACCGTGCGAGATTTGACTTTGAGACGTCTATAATTTATGCACGCTACTGTGTGGATCTCGGGTCCTTTCGGCTTCGATCGTGGCCGATACGATGACACGCTCCTCGAATCCATAAGCGATTCATCGCGACTTTTTTGTGTTTTTTTTTTTTTATTCGCGTTTCACCGATGACATGGCTGACGTTAACTTTTATCCTCTCATTAAGAAGACGTGGTATATATATATATATCATATATAGGGTAATTTTTATTATTATATTTATATAATATTTTATTATATATATATATATATATATATATATATATATATATAGGGTAATTTTTATTATTATATTTATATAATATTATTTTATTATATATATATAGGGTAATTTTTATTATTTATCTCTGTATTCTTCCATTTCTTTCTCGTTCAGAAAGTTCGTAATGAGAGTGATGAAACTTCGTAACTGAGAAATTGGACGCCGCCGTCAAAGAAATTGAAAATTATAATTGCTCGGAAAAACGTTATTTCGAGTTAACGAACTCCGATCACGAGTCAACCACGTCGCTTGCTTACTAATCACTTTTCGTTCCCATTTCATCTAATTTATTATCCCCTCGCGCCACCGAAATAGTCGAAGAATCATCCGCGCAAATTAATTGAAACTTTGGCTAAGGTTACTAATTGAAATAACCGTTATAGGGTTATTAAGATCCGAAATCTTATCAGAAAACTTGTCTTCTGTGGTCTGAGAAAATCCTAACGATCAGTCACTTTGCACGAACATGACAACACGTCGACGTGTGTCACCCCCGAAACAGTTAGATCATTTATCATCTTTTGGTAAAATGTTATAAAAAAAAACTACGCTGTTCTATCTCTTCTGCGCTTTTTATCTCGCAGCATAGCTGAATCCAAATTTATCTTGCTTCTTGTTCGTCCCTCTCCCCCTGAAAAATAATCAGATCGGAACAACGATGGCTGTCAACGAATAATCGAGAAATAACGTCTAATTGCAACGACGCGGGAATGGAACGCGTAATGGATCGCGATGGATTGTTTGGCCGTGTTGTATAAACGATGAATAACGCGGGAAGTGTAGGGGTATTGGTTGTTGGATGGAAAGTCGAAACTCGCCGATCACGTATTTCCGAAGGCGGCGGGGGCGAACGTACGATCGACGAAGTCGCGCGCATTTATTCGTGGCCGATCACTTTTTATTGATGTACCGCCGACCGAGGCGATTTCGTATGCGCAACGAAATGGCTTCGAGGAATCTGTCATCGGTCATTTATGACGCACCGTGTGCCGAACCGGTGTGCCGATCGTTACCGACCAACACACACCGATCGAGACGCACGCCCTCTCTATTCTTGGCCCTCCGAGACCATCCACCTAAATCGTTGCTTCTTCTCCTTCGGCTCTCTGATTTTTCTTTCTTTCTTTCTTTCTTTTTTTTTCTCAGTGTTTTCTCTCCCTCTTTCCTCGCGTTTGATTGTCTTGCAAAATGGCAAAAGTTCTCGCGTGATTTAATCGTTAAACGAAAAAGATGAGTTGGATCGTCAGTTGAATTCTCAATCTCTTTGAGATGGCTCGTTTCGTTTTTCGTTGAAAATAAATTGTACGGTCGGTGAATCGTGTTTATGCATTTGAAGCAAGGTGTTTGTTGTAATATTTAGCGAACCGAAACTCTCTGTTTCGTTTCTTTAAATATGCTGCATAAATGTTACAGTCTAGCGATTGTAACTTACTGTCGATGAAAACGAAACAAGGCGTTAGAATGTATGCACGATGAGAATCTTTCTGCCAATTAAATCAATTTAATTTAGTCACGAGTCCAATTAAAATCGGGAACGAAAAGTCACGTGTCTTTCCGCTTTGACTATCCGTTCTGATTGAATTAAATAAGACAATAATCGGCTTTCGTCCATGTTAAATTATAAAAATAGCCAAACGTATTCGTGCACCACGTGCATCTTTCATCGCTGTCCCAACGTTTCATTAGTTGAAAAGCTGTAGCTGTTTGATCGTCTTCAAGCGATCGGATCGATTTTCGCGTTTCATTCACCAACTTTTGTCACCTCGGTTTTATGCAGTTTTCACTTCGAAGACACGGTCGATCGCGCTTTTGTGTCGTTCTATTTGCGTGTCATCTGCGGGCTACTTTTAAATTAAAACCGCGGCGAGTCTTGAGTCTGAAAACAGCTTCAATTCGTCTAATGAAATTCTTAATCAAGTGATTCAATTTGGAGAAACGCGGATGTATGAATGGAATCGTGTAATATACCATATGTTCGCGATTCGGAATTCCACGTTACAAGGCTTGAATTTTTCATCCGTAATTCCGATTTATCCGGCGGAGAACAAAGCGCAATGGAAAAAATCCGAATGAAAATTGTACACCGAAGCTCGAGTAGAAGCTTCACCGAGGCAAAGATGAAAGATATTATTTATAATTTGCAAAGTTAAACGAAACGAAGATCCACGTCCTATTTCATATTTATATTTCATATTTCTGTCTGAAAATTTTAACAGGGAATCCAGTCGAATCAGGATGCGAAATAATAGAACAGCGGCAGCGTTAAATGTCGTGGATGAATAAATTTTAACGAATCTACAGGGACGTATCTATTTTTCAACGGCTGGCGGTTGATGCCGTGCAATTTGTACGAACTTTGTATGAAACTATTAAGACAAAGACGTGGGTATAAAAATTCACGAGCTTCGCCCGCGACGATCCCGTTATGAATCTCGCCGCTCTGTTGTTTAATGAAATTTTCTTTCATTAAGGGAATGATGGACGTTGCATTGAAAAGTGGATCAGCTGACGCGCAAAATTAATCGCATTAACGAAACGTTCTGGAGGAAGAACGTTTTGAAAATGAATAGAGCCGCGAGAGTGACGTATCGATCGCGGATTAAATGAAATTATTCAATGAACCCGGATCCGCGAGTGAATGAAACCACTTGGCTCTTAGACAATTTATAGCATCTTAAAGAACTGGTCCCAATGGACCGACACCATTTCGTCTGAAGCGGACGACGTAAGTAAAAACATTTTTCCGAGATTGATACGTGAACTGATTAACGTCTAAGTGAAAAGTCGTGCAAATATCTGACTATTTTATTTCATAATCCAGATCACACTTGATTTCCTCTCCTCAACGCTGAATAAGTTTCACCTATTTTTGAGAAACGACGCTTACATTTTTATACGTTAGTGTCTGTCATTTCTCTGATTCAGATTCGAGTGTCAGTCTTATGATCTCTTGTGTTGCTCGACAATAATCTCTACGGAAGTTCTGCTTTATCTTTTTCAGCGAAGGAAATTTTAGTGAAATTCTCTGGTAAAGATTCTGAAAAATTTATGTACGTGAAATGCAGACTCGTTATTTCATTGATATCTCGCGTTCCTATCAAATCATTCTTGGACATTGAGTCCAAGCAGCAATCAGCTTCGCAATTTCGCGATAACGATGTCGTCTGCTTGTTAGACAGCGTGATTTATTTAGCAGCTGTTCGGATAAATAACGGTTGTTTGCATCGATCGCCGGCTCAAATGACGTAGACATAGAATTGCTTAAAAAGCAAGTAATAGCAAAGTGAAAGCTTTATGTGACACATCCACAAATACACATCATCATCATCAACCGGCTCTATGAAACGCGCATAAAAGTTTAATTGTTTTTTCCACAATTTCAGCGAGTGTTCTTTCAATTATGTATAAAAATTTAGTTTCTCTTAGAGAAACACAAACACGAATCAATTTTATTTTACCTTGTAAAGTCACGATTGAATTTATTTTATTGTATAATAATATAATGAGTAATATAATATAAATTCGAGACGAGATTTCTTTCGCTTTTCTGCCAGAATCTTCGGTTCACCGATTTTTTCCTCTTGTTCATTACCCGTGGCGATCCCTGTGGCGAGCAACACGGCAAGGGAGGATCGCCTCGAGTTGCTACTCGCATGGAGAAACCAAATTGCACCGAGAAGAAAAAACCATGTCCCCTTGCAGCATGACACGACCTGATTTGGACCCTTCGATCGGCCGATACAGTTAATGGTCTTACCAATAAAAGCCTTCGAATACGAATCGTGTCGCGACTATGTATCGATATCGATCAATTAAGATCAATTAAACACTACCTAGAATTTCTTATTCGATTGTGAACATTTTTCAACCTAGCTTCAATTTTTTGACACACGCTTTTGTTCACACGATTTGTTCGTCTTATTCTCATTCAATGGATTCAAGACAATTAGATTGTTGATCTAATAAACAGTATAAAACATTATATCTGTATAAAACATTAGCATTGGCGTAATCCAGATATATTACTCGAATATTTATGATTCGATAATTCAGCTGTCGACAATGGTGGAACGAAATTCCTTTTCGAGGCATCGATTAAAAAATACAAAAACTAAAAGTAGCTCTAACTACTTGGGAACAAGTTTCTGGCTTTTCAAATGCAACTAGACTGATCAATTCTAAATTTAAATGACAGATAGAAATAGCGTATTAAATACTTCAAAACGTATAGAATCATTCATACAAGCACTGTTTTAACTAGACACATTTATTATTAACACAGTGGTATAGAATGGTGTAGAATGGTATAGAATGCTCCCCATTCTTCAAATAAATCGTTAAAAATACAAGAGCAAGAAATATTTTAAGTCTGTCGTCGGTAGAAATTTTGAAAACTCAGAATTTTTTAAATAAAAACGTTATCGGTACAATTATTCAATTATTGTATAATCGATTCCACTACGAACCATCCTTAAATACCGTGACTGTAGCATAAGATAATAGCTTTTCTTGCTATAAAACTCGAAATGATTACCAATCACGGGACAAACGAAAATTATACCAGATAATACCAGCGGTTATAACATTCGTCTTTGTGACTCGTTTTCATTGAAATAGCGGAGAAATCATTTTTTTTTTTTTTTTTCCATCCGCTATGGGTACATAGAATAGTATATTTCCACGTACAGGAAATACGTACTGTTTCTAGTTTTCAAAACACTCGCTACGGACGAGAATATATCATGAAGATGTATAGTTCTGCGAGTGTAGCGCCATTCCGACGGGTGGTAGAAACCGGATCGAACTCTGATTTGGCGAATCGCCAGTGTCTTGATGAACAGTCTATAGAAAATACGTTGTACTGCGCGTATTTTCATAGTAGTATAAAAATCGCGTGATTTTTTTTTTTTTTTTTTTGACTGAAAAAGACCCTAAATGCGTTTGCGACACGTACCGTTTTATCAAAAATTCTTATGGAAGTCTCAGAACTTTTCATTTCTTCTCTTTGATTTATTAATTAGAAGATTCCACTTTTAGAAGACAAAAACCTTCCATGTCGCATCGCGGGAAGAGTGTTTCAGAACAATTTATAATTATAAAATTATAAAATAATTTTTATTCATAATTTAAAGTTATAAAATTATAAATTTTATAATTTTATAAAATTATAAAATAATTCTCAGATGTTCTCCTGCTAAATACAAAAAGAAAAAAACAGATTTCACATGATATAAAAGGACTCGACTTGTTCGGCTTGACATTGATCAAGTCTCGCGAGTATCCTCGTAGCTCCAGTATAAATTGGAACTTTTGTACAAAGCAGAAAGCTCGAAACTTGGAAAAAGGAAACGCAAATTCGTTCTGTCAATAGCGTTGAATCGCTCAGCGTCGAGAAGAATCAAAACCAGAACGGCGATCGGGTATTTAATGATCCGCTAAATAAAAGATCCGAGGCTCTATTTGCGGCGCCTAGAATAGTTCGCCCCGTGCAACAGACATTTAGAGTTAGAGACATTTCTACTTAAATAATAACGCTCCGACAACGCAGCGTTGTGACGCAGCCAATAGGTTAAAAGTCGATTCTTCCCCGATTTCTAAACGTACGAGCAAAGAGGTGCTTCTCTGTCCTAGCTATCGAACAATTGCTCTATCCAACCGTAATGGCGAGGAACGGAGTGCGGAATAGAGATGTAACGGTATCGTTTGAAACGATCGATCAGCTCTATCGCGGAGGAGAAAATATGTAGAGGCCAGAGCAGGGGACAACGCCCGAACGTGTTCCTCCTGCCGTAGTTGCCGGAGAATATCGCGACGCCGGAGAACTCGCCTCTCATTCGCGGAAGCGAACCATTCAATCGAAACTCTTTGAATTAATAAACACACGGGTGTATCAAACTCCCGCGGCGGTATAACTTGGCTGAGGGACTCGCTGTTCCGCTTCGTGCCGCGCGTTCAAAGGTCATAAACACGAAAATGAATAAAAAACAGAAGCTATAATCTCGGCGAACCTTCGCGGTTAACTTGGAGTTGCAGTGAACGTTAATTCTTATGATCATACGTTTGTCGTTCTTTCAGAAAGCTAATTGACAACTTCATTTCGCGAATTGTGTCAGTGGGTAGGTACTTTTCGCGTGGTTTGGAGACTATAGCAGGAGCAGTTTGTTTTAATATTTCATATTTAATCGTCGATTGATGCCGCGTTAACAAAATTTTTGTCCTCTCGTCTAGCTGAACGTTAAAAATATCGCGCGACTTTGATCTCTATCTTATCGTCATTTTGTTAATTATGCCTTTGACTCCAGCAGTTTCTTCCCGTTTTAACTGTTTTATAATTTTCAGTCGTAAGACGACAATAAAATGAACAATCTGGGAATCTAATTTTTCTCTTCATTTGATATTTGGACAATGTTACTTGCAAAATGTTTTACATAATGTAATACTTTGTACGATATCAGGTTGTACTGATCGAAGTATGTAAGCTTCGCGATTCGCGGAAAAACAATTTGAAGATACGATTCTGTACTTTTCTAGGTTTCTGTTTCTACTTTACGTTGCCTATGCCTTTCGAATTCCGCGTATCGATCGTTTTTTTCACGGTATTGTTAATAATTAGCCAAGCACTTGGGTTAACAATTTTCATAAACAGCTTTGATGTCTACACAAAGATTCTGAATAATCCATAGCTTCGAGTTGAACTTCCATCAATTTCCCTTGATAATCGTACTTCCTAGAACTTTTCCACTTCGCCATTGCCGTGAAAAAAAAAGAAAAGGCTACGTTTTCAAAGAAAACTTCGCTCGCGCTCCCTCAATATTTCATGCACGCGACGTGCACGAAGTGTACAAAATGCAGTGAAATTACGAGATAATACGGCTTGCAACCGTCGTTTACGAGCGGATAAAGTGTTCCGGCTGGTTCGCTAGAAGCCACGAGAAAAGAGAATAGAACACGTGGAAAATGACAGAGGGGACGGAGCGAGACTTCGATCGGTGATACACGTACGCTTTGTGGTCGCATACGAGTTGCATGGCCCCGCATATTAAATCTTCTTCTTAAACTATATCACTGTTAATTGGCCTCCGGAGAATCTCTGCGAAGCAATTGCTCGACCAATCGATCAATCGTGACGTAGCGTTTGACGCAGTCGAAACTAACAAAAGCTAGGTATTTTCCACCTCCATTTCTTAAATTACACTCGCCAAATATACAGGAGCTTGCGTCGATAGACGGGCGAATATCTAACTCGTCTCTCAGAAAGAAATCCTCTTCATCCACTCACGGTAGAATAGAAAGTTTCTTCATCCGCCTTGGTTGCAGGTTCGGAGAATGGTCGCGGCTCGGCGGACAGCGAGGACGAGGGCGGAGGGTTGAGCGTCGCTGGCGATGGTCACGACGCCATCGACACCATGTCCAGCAACGCGTCCAGCAACGTGAGCCCCGGTGGTTCACTGGAGAACGGTCAAAACACGTCGACGAGCGGCACGTCCAGCAGCAGCAGCAACAACAAGGCCAGACGCAGACGGACGGCGTTCACATCCGAGCAGCTGTTGGAACTGGAGCGAGAATTCCACGCGAAGAAGTACCTCAGTTTGACCGAGAGATCGCACATCGCGCACGCCCTCAAGTTGTCCGAGGTCCAGGTGAAGATCTGGTTCCAAAATCGGCGAGCCAAGTGGAAGAGGGTGAAGGCAGGGCTGAGCGGCGGCGGAGTTGGCTCCGGTGCGGGCAGCATGGCGACCGCCGGTGCCTCCAGCAGGCACAACGGTGCAGCTGGACAACATTCTGGAAACGGGACCAGGATCGTCGTGCCGATTCCGGTGCACGTTAGTCGACTGGCGGTGAGATCTCATCACCATCATTTGGAGAAATGCGCCAGGCCGCCGAGAGTCAGGCCAACGACCGAGAGCCCCACGTCGTCCAGCGCCCCGTCGTCGGTCCTCGGGGACGCACTTGGACTGGTGAACTCGTCCATTAACTTGAGCGGACAGGTGCAGAGCCCTCTGAGCGGCGGTGTTGGAATTGGAGTCGGTGTCGGGCTAAGAGCGTTCACGGTTCCCTCTCATCGTGGTGGTCTCAGTTCTTCCGGCAGGTAGTGAAAGCTACGAGGTGAACTGTGCACGTGGGACTAATTGCAGGTTCGTGGCCAGAATCGTAATCTTGACGGTTTGTTCGCGAGACGAGGAGGTGTCAGTGACGGAGGCGGTGTGTGCTTTTTCGAATAGACGGACGGCGTAGGTGGCTGTCTGTTTTAACGATGGTGACGTGATAATAACTTGTGGAATCGCACGGTGATCTGGATATTGTTACGTGAAAATTACGAGTGATGAGAGAGGGAGGAGACACGTTGTCTTTGACTGATTTACAATCGTAGAGATTGCAATTGACACGAGAGTTTGTACTAGAAATTTGTTCCCTTGGCTGTATTATGAAACAACGTGTTTCTTACGCTGATTCTCTCTTCTATCTCTCAGTTTCTGTATCGCGTGTCATCGAGTCACTCAAAAATCGTCCGATTTCCTGTGAGATCGGTCGGAACGATTGATCGATCTAAAAAAAAAAAACACGTGTATATCTATCCTAAACCTTGGAGACGACGGGATTTTCCAAACAGCATCAGAGATGCATCGAGATTCAGAATACGTTTTGTTATATTTATATAATTTATTTTTTAAAAACACATAGTTTTCGAAACTATGCTCTCCAAGCGTCCAAGTATCCAAGGATTGACAGAGAGGAATTCTGTAAATAGCTTTCACACAGCGTATCGCCTAGACTGTATTCCCCGTATACGGGCCGTATAAGTCGTACTTGTAGATAATTTCTTTACGTTTAAACGTAAACCTCCGCTCCATCCCAGAAGTATCGTGCTCTACAACGATACCGATATCGATCGGGCGTGCGATCACCGCAGCTGCGTTAGGGCCGTGGAGCGGAAGAACGGAAGAAAGTGTATATCGAGAAGGCAATAAAATGTGCGAATATCATGTGGAATATTGTCGTGTACATTGTGTGAATGCACACCATACCACACGTTCCCAGTTCTTTCGCGTTTAATCCAACGCGACATAGATGATTCACGAAGACGCTTGCGATTTTTCCAGATTGTCGCGGGTTGTAGATGAAATTACAGAGTCGAGGGACACACCCTCGTTATTTATTCGCTAGCCGAGGTGTATTAAACAGTAGCTCTGTGCTTATTGGCTGTTATTGGCCTATTTCGACTGGCCTCTAGCCAGAGCTAGAACGCTCTCATTCTCGTCGATCCAGAGGTAGGTAAGCGATCCGACTTTTATGCTACTTGGTTACCTAGATAAGAATTTTCTTTTTTTTTTTCTTTTTCTTTTTTAGCAATTGTTAAAGTCGTTGAGTTAATTGATCGACGATATACTTTGATGTTGATTTTGTGATAGTTTGAAACGTAGATGATAATTCACGAGCAACAATTTAGGTACTTTTCTCTTTTACATAGCTACGAATTAACACCACATCTGTCCATACTACCAAGCAATTCCTTCCAAGAATCCTGTCCAAAGATCCTCGCGCTGGTCTTTTCGTTGCATTGCAGCCCCGTTGGACAAATTAGCTGGTTTCACAATGCACCAATGCATATCGAGGAGCGGTTAGGTTGCACAGCCGAAAGTGGCATATGGGGTCACGCCTACGAGGCGTTCAAGGGAGGTGAACATCGGGCCTTTTTTCCATGGGGTCCCCTCGAAAGACGGGGCCAGCACGCGCCGCAGCCTGCGAAAATACGCGCGCCGATCCCCGCCCGCGGCGTGCAGTCTGCAATTTTCCACGTCAAGGCGATCCCACGGGAGAGACACCGATCTCGTTTCGCTGGGCCGACAAAAGCCACCCCTTCGAAGAATCTGGCTCGACGTAATTGTCAAAACAACTCGAAAATCGATTACGGAGGCGACCCGGAAAAAAAAAAGTATACGATGACACACTGATTTGTAGGTGAAAAGAGATGGGTGGATTTGGATTAAATTCGAGTTCGGTTAATGTAATTTTCGATTTATGTGTTACAGTACAAATAGGTTAGGTTTCTACCTCATAAAACAAAGTATTTCAACTTGAGCTATTGTTCACGAATCAACAATAGGTTTCATTTCAACTTAACTACGCATAAAATCATTGCAAATTTCATTCTCCACGCACGTCAAGAACTTTTTTGCCCCAAAATTGCAATGTTTCCTCAGTTTTAAGTATATTTAAGTATAACCCAGGCAAAACAAATGACAAATTTATTACTTCTCAATAATTTCTACCCAGTGACATCGTCGCCGACAAGTTCGAAAGAAATTATTGTGTATGGTTCGGTCGCTCGTTATGGTCCGCAATCAGTTGCCAGCGCAAGCGGTTGAAGTTGATATTACACGTAGGATGATTTAAAACATTGGTTTCAAACGAGGACTCGTCGCTGAAAGTAAACGAGATTGAATTTTCGACGTACACTTTTAAATGCAAACGACACACGCAATTTATGCAACGCCTAATCGATCAACATTTGCGACTACACGAACATCAATACGCTCGTGCATCTCACGCGCATTAAAGCAGGAAGTGGATCGGGCAGAAGCCACGCAGCGACTTGGGCTTGGGGCGTTACGTCGGGGGAAAGAAATTATGGGACACAATGGAGTAGGGTTCAAAGTGCACAGGGGTATCGGTTTAGCGTACGAAAGGTATCGTGGCTGTAATTTCCCCGCTGCGCACCAATATCTGCACGATGACAATTCTCTAATTCGATATTTGAACAACAAATGAATGTTGCGTGTGAAACACAAAAACGAGTTACATCCAATTAGAATAGTACGATATATGTGTATAAGGACACATTCTTTACGCAAGGTTCGACAGTCGGAAAATTTTATTGAAATTTCAAAAATATAAATATAAAATTTTATATATAAAAAATTTTATATATGTATAAAAAATATAAATGTATAATTTTATAATATAAAATTTTATTGAAATTTTAAAAATATAAATGTATAATTTTATAATATAAAATTTTATTGAAGTTTTAAAAATATAAATGTATAATTTTATAATATAAAATTTTATTGAAATTTTAAAAATATATATATAAAATTTTATATATAAAAAATATAAATGTATAATTTTATAATATAAAATTTTATTGAAACTTTAAAAATATAAATGTAAAATTTTATATATAACAAATATGTATAAAAAATTTTATATATAAAAAATATAAAAATATAACTAACTAAATATAATATAAAATTTCATTGAAATTTTAAAAATACGAAAAATCTTACTCAGCTGTATCACACAGCACACGAGGCAAGATTAACTCCGTGATGTTAAAAGTGTATATCCATTTTGTTTTTTGATTTGTTTATTAATAAGATCAGCCATTGAAATCTGAAAATGTTTCTCACGCGCCAGATATTCAATATACAAGGTGTCTTCGATACACAAGTGTCCGAATGCTTTCGTAACACGTCGTGCACGTTGAAAAGCGAGCAACCTTCTTCGAAAATAGACGAGGATGATTCCGCGTCGCAAGACGAGAAAGATGATTCGGTCGAGGGGTTGCAAAACCTTGGCCAGGGTAGGTATAGTTATATACAGTGCTCACAATGGCAACGGCAGAGTGCATTACGGTTAATACACGAAGGACCGCGGTCGTTTAGCCAAGGATCTCGGCAGTTACCGCTTCGCAAAGGATAAATCATCTCGTGATTTCAACCACGCCTACCGTACGACAGAGAAGCGGCTCCCCTAGAGCGTAACGTACAGCCTAGACGTGCTCTATACTACTGCTCTATCTTTCTCTCTCTCTCTCTCTCTCTCTCTCTCTCTCTCTCTTTGTCTGCGTTGCACGCCGCGTTGGATGAAAACGCCGTTTCCGAGAGCGGAAAACTAATAATCCCTCGCCGCGGATATCCGTTCTGGAACAGTCACTGGCACGGAACCGAATATATTGATAGCCCGATTGCGGATGTTTTCCAGCCTGGACATTTCGCCGCAGTATCGCCAACGACGATTATCGAACGATAATACACTGGACTGGACTCGACTCGATACGGTAATTCAGCTGCTACTGCATTTTTATTGCAAGTTACGACATCATCGCAGTTGCAGAGACTTCGAATCGAGTTCGCAGAGAAGTAATATTGATTTAATCGGACTGTCAGCGAACAGACGTTCGCTAGGACTATTTCGAACAATGATTCGTCGACTATTGACATTTTGTTTTATTGCCGAGCTTGGTCTTACTCAATTTATTTGTAAAACTCGTGAAGCTGGCAATGTTAGATTAATTTTGCCATCCTACCGTAGAACAGTTGCTAGAACCAGAAACCAGAACAGAGACGGAAAATTGAATTGAACTTTAGTTAAATTAACTAGAGCAATCGACGAAATGTGTGTTTAAATAACACCACCAGTAATTGGGGATAGATTATTTTATCTGTTGAATTAAACACGAACAATGAGATGAGAATAACTGGTCTGGGCTTGTTGGTAGTATCGATTTGTAAATTTCATGAGTTAAAAGCGTTTCCAGACTGATTTTTTAATAAAAATTAGGTCTGGAGTTAAAAATGTTCCGCGCACAGTGTAGTATAGCTGGTGAATGAAATGATTATGAAATTGCATTTTATATAAAAATAGCTGAAAGAAATTTGTGGAAATTCAATAAAAGTTAATCTTGGCTGATGTACAGGGTAACTTTAACTTTAATTAATCGGAAAATGAAACAGAATATTTTTACAGAGTTGAAACTTAAAAAAAAAACGACCCAAATTCTGTGATTACATGAAGATCATTTATAGAATGTAGAGCTTAAACGAAAAAGAAAACAAAAATGAAAATAATAAAAGTTTCGTGCCGGGAAAGTGAAATATGTGAAATTAGATTTCCTGGCAAGGAAACGGATTCTCACACCCGCACGGACGAAGAGAGTGGCAAATAGAAACGGTGAGCTAACGCGGTCTATTTCCCACACTCGGCACTGCACTCGAGTGCTGGGAGATTTTCCCATTTTGGCCGAAAGGGCCGTGAAATTGAGCAGACAAATCGTAGCTCGAGAGAGCACGACGAATTTCACCAGGCCCCGTGCCCTCTGCTACTGTATCCAACGTCTGTCACCTCCTATTTGCAGGATCTCCCCCTTGTTTCTAACTGTTGTTAGTAGGACATATTAATTCATTTTAACTAACCATCGAGGGGATGGGGAGGGGGGGGGGGATGTTCGAAAAATCTCCTTCGACGTACGTTGTTCGAAAATATGGAAACACAGAACGGTATTACCATTGTATTTTTTTACCCTCCGTGTTAATAAAATTCTCACGAAAACTACAGCGCGGCTAAAAACTTTCAACAGCTACTGCGTACTGTTATTAAAATTCTTGAAGGAAACTTTCGTCACGCGGATAAGAACAATATTCTTCGAAACGACGACATCTTGGAGCGAAAAAATTCCAAGCTTCCGTCGTCAATCGAACCTGAGGAAACTTCGACATTTTGAATGGTGAAATCTGTCGTGCAGAAGAGAATCGTGAAAGGGATTCGTCGTTAATCGGTCTCGTTACCGCGCCTAATCGTAAAGCGGAGCGGCGAACGGTGATCGCATCGGCTGTCGCCTTGTGCGAGGAAGTTGCAGGAGCGCGGAGGGCACGTCTGGGTGAAAAAGAGGGTGAAAAAGATCGGACAGAGCGACGGAGCGGAGGTTGGTTTTCGCGGTGAGATCGGCGGTCGGTGTGCAGTGGCCGTCTGCCTCCCGGGGGCCAGAGGCCAGAGGAGAGAAGAACGACGGTGGCCGTTTGAGCGAGCGAATGAAACCCGACGAGACGGGGAGCTGTACGAGGGAGGACGAGGGAGGACGAGGGACGAGGGGAACGGAGTTTAATGTTCCCCTCCAGTGGGTGACTCGAGGGTGTAATTGCCGTAGTGGGCGGAACGGAGCTGGTATAGCGGCGATGGGCGTGGTTCGCTGATTACACCGCGTTGATACT